CCTAGTTTGGGAAAGTACATACCTAGAAAACAGAAGGGCAAAACTTGTGTTCTCCTTTTAAATTTTTTTGGTTATTCTTTTATGTAACTATATAATGATTAATATATCTTATCTTGAGTTTACACATTTTTCATTTCAGATATATGCTTGATAGGCCTCGCATCAAACCCATTATTGAAGATTCAACATTTGAGAAAAATCGTTTGGTTTTGCTGTCTGAAATGGTACAAAACCCTGGTATGTTTGATAGATCGCTCATGTCACTTGATTGTTGAGGCTTTTAAGGTGATCTAAATGCTTTGGCTTATATATATATATATATATGAGAAAGGCAAAACTATGTTCTAGAAATTCCATCCATAGGCCTTGCTTGTGAAACATGGTCAATTCTAGATCTTCAGGGTATCATGTTAGAGATGTCATAAGTCTAGATCGTCAAGCACTCTAAAACACTATGCTAAATGTGCCATTGACATCTCATTTTTCAAAAATGTTCCGACACTTCGAAGACATTTTTAGACACTTCGAAGACATATTTTTAGACACTTTTTTGGAACCTCTTTAGCACAACTTTATCATGTGCTTAGCATGTTATATACTAATTAAACCAATTTAATTATGAGTGTCATAATCGATTTAGGAGTCTCATGACATAATAGGAATTATGATTTTACTCTTATTAATTTTTGATATTTGATGTAGGAAGCTATTATAATTGTGAATGAAGTGTTTTTTTTCCTTCTATTTTTAATAAGACAATATGGCCACTTCAACCATCTCCTTCTATTTTCTTTAAGAATTGTCATATATCGTGCTGTCATGATGTGATCATGCATAATATGCTCTTGAAGACAAGACAATAGTACTCTATGCATAATATGCTCATAATAAACAATTAACTTTTACCTATGCATTTGAGAACCCTATTGTCTTGTCTTCAATGCTCAACCTCGTTTATACTCAATTTTGCCACTATTTAAACCACATTAAGGTGTTAAAGCACATAAAATAATATTTGAGCTGTTGAATACTGCTAAAGCAATGTTGAATGCATTGAACGTCGTCAAAGACAATGTCAAATGCATCAAACATCATAGACAACAATGTCAAATGAATAAATTAAGTCATATTTGAATTGCTTATTAAATTCCATAAAACAATCAAATGATATATATGTAAATTGCATTGCTTACCTCCGATTATACCTCTTCTTTGGCGCATGGGATCACACAATTCAACACATCCTCATCTTCTTCATTGTCAAACACCATCACATGGGATTACTCTCTAAATCAAATATTTATATTTTTTAAAACTCATAATTCTTCTCCAATACTAAATTTTTACTTACCTTCACATGTTGATACAATAATATCTCGACAAAAAAACTCTCAGTAGAGCACTATACTACTCAGAATCGAACGGTCGGCCTCTTTGCCGATCGAAAAATGAAAACCCCTCCTTTCAGTGTTCGTCAAATAGCAACAGACGAAAGCCTTCTTTTTAGTCAATAAAAACCGCTAACTCGCTGCACAACCTCTTGCTTCACACTCAAACTCTCTTCGCCTTCGATTTCACTAAAAAGTAAGCTACACTTAAAATGAAATCCTCTCACACACACAACTCCTTCCCTGTGTTTGACTCGACTGAATCAAGCAAGCTCCATTATATTAAGCGAGTCATGTCCATCCCTGCCCGCTCTTGCTCTTGCCTACAACTTCAATTTTGTTGTTTTGCTCCTACTTGATCTGCTTTCCTTGACCTCGCTCGATTGCAGTTCAGTGGATTCAATTGGATTGGTTCGGTTTAGTTGAATATATGGAGTGTAATTTTAGTAATAATAGATCTTGTTGGGGGATTGTGATTTTGGGCAATCAAGTCATTAATAAGAGTGCACATTTTAGATATATTGAGTCTATTGTTCAGAGTGATGGTAAAATAGTTGGAGATATTATTAGTATAATTCAAGTTGGATGGTTGAAGTGGAGGAATGCATCAAGCTTGTTGTGTGTAGAAAAGCCCCCGTCAAATTTATGGGAAAATTCTATAAGATGGTGGTAAGACCTGCAATGCTTTATGGTGTAGAATGTTGGCCATTAATAGAGAAGCATAATATTATGTTAAGTGTTGCAGAGATGAGGATGCTTAGGTGGTTGAGTAGCTTTACTCTTAGAGACATAATACGAAATGAGCATATTCATGAAAAGGTTGGAGTAAGTCCAGTGGAAGATAAGATTAGAGAGAGTCGCCTTAGATGATTTGGTCATATAAAACGGGGGCTTTCCGATGACTCGGTTAGGAAAGTAGATGTATTAGATTTGACTTATGTTAAGAAAGGTAGAGGTAGACCTAAAAAAGGATTTGATTAGAGAATATTAGAAATGACCTTTCTTTATTAGATTTAAATGAGATGTTGTTGGTTCGGTTGAACCAGTCCCCAGTCCAACCGGATATAACAATTCTATCCTTATAAATGGAAGTTGGGAAGCATTCCAGCTTATCATTGATTCATATCTGTGACTCTAAATCCAGTAACTGGGCATCAATTAACGAACGAAAAAGTTAACGATAACCCACAATTATAGGTTGTTCTAAGTTAAATTAAGTGTTATTTGCATGTGGTGTTATATTAATAGTGGTGCTTCTGTTTAATAGTCCTTCATTTGATACCACTTTGTTGTAAAGTTGTTATATGCTTTGAATGCTTGGCACTTGGTATTTTTTGTACTTTTTCCATGCATTTAAGCTATTCCATTATGTTGGGTAGTCAAATTTCAGCAACTTTAATATTTCTCAACAACTTTTTATTAGTTTGATATTGATGCATGACATGATGGGGTGCTATTTTGTATTCTATTTATTATTTTCTTTGTCTATCGCTTTTCCACCATGTGTGTATTTGTATGTAGGAAACTATCCCGTAGTTGCTGACACGTCCACTAACACATTGGGTTTAGTAGGCTCTTTTGGGAGGAGCTATCTTTCTTTGCTCTCCGTTAGATTATATATATACTGTTGTGAAGCTTGTCAGCAATTCATTATCACACCCAGTTGTATCACTTTGGGTAAAGGAGAGGCAATCCAGAGCATGTGATTGGAAAGAGTAAACTCACAAAATATTTCTTTATTTACTGCTTAAGCAGCATCTTACTGGAAATGATCAAGAGGGAATCCCATGCTCTATGTGTGGAAGGAAATTTTAGAACCATTCAAACAAAAAAGCAGATGGGATGTCGCAGAGAAGTTACTAAAGAAATAGTTTAAAAGTCAAAAGGAGTTGTTTAGAAATATGTTTCAACAATGAACAAGAATAATTTGGGTTTGGACTATGAGCATTTCGACCACTAATTATGAAATTATGAAGATTTAGTGGTTAATAAACTTAGGTGCGCATTGTATTATCCATATAAGTAATTTTAATTGATTCTGTGAATTGCTTTTACTTAAGAACGTCCAAAGGAAGCCACAAGGTGTGATAAACCCTTCCCACATGTTGAAGAATTTGTGACGCTGTGCATATTATAAATATTACATTTTGTTGGCATAGCACAATTATTATATGTTTATGCATTGATAAAATTTTACTTTTTGGCATAACTTAGCTATTACATTTTATTGCAGTTTTTCTTTTGTGTTGTTACATTATATTTGTCGGGTAATGCTGGGTGTTTATGCAGCTCCAGAGGAATGTGAACTTCAGGTAAATTGCTTCGTACAGTTGGCTGTTATGAATAAGATGTCCATCTACTTCATTCCCACTAGTCACTAACATTATTTATGGAATGAATGACCAATTGTACCAGCATAACTTATCAACTTCCCACAAAACGCCCCGCTAAATTTCATTTTATTTGCACTCCTTGGATGTTTGCCTTCTTATTAGTAGGATTTTATTTTGTAGGATGATGTAATCTATGAACTAGTGTAATTAGGTTGGAACAAAGGCTTTTAGAATCAGACTAGAGATTAAAAAGGTTGAAGAAAATGTTTAAGGTTTAATGGTTCATCTAGAATTCAATCAAGGGTTCAACTGTGATGATGTAAATATTATTAAAATTAATTCAATTTTTTAGATGAGTTAATATTTATATATGTATGTATGTATGTATGAATGTTTGTATATATATCAGATATGCAGAAAAAAATTCAAAAAATATTGAATACCAAAAGTATCTTTCCATTGCAACTTTTTAGTCAAATCAGTTCAGTAGTTCTCACTTTAATGGTTGAGCGATTTGACTACCAGCTTTTATATGTTAATCTCACTTCCTGAAATTTCAATTATTTAGCCAAGCTAAACCAGTTTAAGAATTGGTTTACTGTTCGACCGGCTCAATCATCTTTGTTCAGTTAAATTTCCACAACCATAGTTGGAACATGGACTTGTTTTATGGTATTTATTTATTGTTCTATACTTTTCATTCATGATTGTTAGAGCAAAAATTAATGTTTTTTTTATCAGGGGGTGAGGCCAGAATTTTTTATTAGCAGGGGCACAAATTGACTTTTAACAGGACACAGTGGAGAAAAAAGATTCATGTAGCTGATCCCACGTAGTGGGATAAAGGCTTGATGTTGTTGTTGTTGTAGGGGCATAAATTGATAATTTTCAAAATACTCTTGATCTTTTTTGTGATTTCTATTTCTTTTTCATTTAATAGTTCATGGGGAAATAATATTTTGATCTTTCAAGAATATAAATATTTATTTTAATAGATTATTATATTATATATTCTATTAGATGTATTACACACAAATTTATGATTATTTTATTTCAGTTTAAATATGTAGGTGTTAGTTCTATTAAAAAAGGAATTTATAGCATACAGATAATTAATCTTTGTATATATATATATATATATATTTGATTTTTAATAATGCAAATTTCAAGTTTTTCTAACATGGCATTTTTTAATAAAGTTATTAATTGCATACTAATGTCATATGCAAAAAGTTTACATTAAAGTTACTCATTTTGATTATTCTTTGAAAATATCTACATAACCAAGACAAGAAACTGTGAAATTAATTTTTGTAGGATTGACTGATAATTTATGTAAAAAAACTGTAACAGTTGAAGCATAATTTCACTCCGTGGCCCAACGGATGAGGCTCTTATATGGAACCACTGTCCTAGGTTTGGTTGCCAATGTGGGCGCATTTTTGGTTTTAGAATATTATGTAATATAAGTGAATTTTAAGTACATTATTCAGTTTTTAATATTTAAAATAAGTTG